TTACTACATAAGTAAATTATTTATAACATAATCAAATTACTTACTACACAATATACACAATAAATATGATACCGATATAAAGAATATAGGTTTATCACAAAAAGAAGACAAGATGACCTTGAAAAATAACCTTAGAAGCGTCCACGCATCAGAAAACTACAAGTGCCATCTGACTCCCCACTCGAAATATCAAGTGGCATGCGTTTGTTTCTTTTTAAATCACGGGTCCACGAGATTTTTTGCAATTTCAACTGAAACCGGACACCCCGTATACTTTTTACTTTATAATATCCTAGTTGTGGCGAACGTCGACGCTTAAATAATTTAAGCCACGTGTCGGGATTTCCGGGACCACTGCGCACTGCTTGGGACCACTGCGATGACGTCAGTACACGAATATTACCGGCAGTAGTTCTATCGAGTGTGGACCCGACATAACAAGCCCGTCGCGCGGTTTTTGTATCGAGCGCGGCCCCGCGTTATTAGCGGCAACCGTGGCATTAGCGTCAGCGGTAATACCATATCTGTTCTACTTATTTTATGTCCCGCTGAAGGAAGAGGTTTTGAGAGATGAGGACGGTAATTTGAGACCATTAAACGCGTCCTCGCGGATCCGTTTAATCCGGACGAAAATCTTGATATCTCGATAGCCATGGCGGCGGGGTACACCCAGGGACATACGTCACGGTGAAACCAGACATTATAAATTCGTTTAACGAGTTACGGTCGCCTCTCGTTCCACGAATGTCGCTATCGCAGTCACCGAGAACGTTGCCACCGTCGTTCACTAATATTTCATTAAGTCCCTCAAGAGCCACAGGCCTGCACGTATTAACACGTTCGCTGCCACTGTCAAACCAGTACCGCGGGCATGAGTTGTCCGATTTTTCTCGCTTTGGCTAGTTTCTTCCGAGCCGTGTTTTATTTGCTCGCAAGCGGAACCGCGATTTTCAGATTATAATTAGCAGACGCGATGTGGATAGATTGAGAACGTTTTATAATGTCCGAATTTATTATACGGCAGCGGATTTTTATTTTCCATAAGAATCCTCGGTCACGTTATATCTCAACTCAAAGGGTTCAACTTGTTGATAAATAATGTTATTATTAATACTATTGTAACACAGGGACTATCGCCCGTTGATTAAACAAATATTATTATTATTACTGAGAAAGAAAAATCAGTAAACAACGAGTTAGTTTAGGTAGAGTTTTATCGGTTTAACTGCAAATATTTAAAATTTGTTACAAGAACAAAAATTATTTTAACATTATTGCAAGGTTAAGATCATAACATAGTGAGGTTAAATTTAATATACAGTATACAGTAAGTCACTGAATTACTTACTAATATACAGTAATTAATATTATAATAATATTATATTATTATATTAATATTATAGTACAACATATATAACTAATATACAGTAATTCATTGATTTCGTCACGGCACAAGCTATAACGTTATGATGTCAAATATATATAGGGTGTTTCGCCTAGCTAAGGCGAGCACCTAAAAATATCTCGCTTATTTTTGATAACAGAAGAATATGCCAAAGGAAAACATTGGTTGGTTCAGAGAGGCGAATATTATGATAGGCAAGAAAATTTATTCAGGGTTATATCTCTTGAGATTTCGAGGTCATCGAAGTTTTTTTTTAAATGCCGAGACCAAGACGAATTCGACGACCTGTAATGTTATGACTTTCGCGTGACCTTGGGTACAAAAAAAGTTAATAATAAAATAAAAATAATAATAAAAATAATAATAATAATAATAATAATAATAATAATAACAAAAAATAATTTAATAATTTAATAATAAAAATAAAATAAAAATAAAAATTAATAATAAAAGAAGGGCAATTGACATAAAATTGATGTCATCTTCGACTTTTGAGAAGAGCTAAAATTTCAATTTCGAATGTCTGTAGACCCCATCCGTAAAAGCTGAGCACTTGTTTCGCGCGTAAAACGAATCTCTCTCCTCTCGCAGTCGTAGAAAAGAAGATGGCCGCGTCTCAAGTTTCGCGCTAAAAGTTTATTTCAAGCAAACCGAAGCGAATGGAAAGCATTTAGATAGGATTTCGTATAACTACGCGAACAGTTTAACTGGAATCGCGATATCCCGAGCAGCATCTTAGCCAGAGGGTGATACCGAACGATAATTACGCTATTTGATCAGAGTGGTTGCCAGTAAATACCGTCTACCATTGCGTTTCCCTGCGTAATTAGCAATAGCCCAAGGTGGCGAAACGTGAAAATCTCTTGGACGATAGTCGATCCCGTCATTAATAGCCACAGCTGACGGCGAGCGTGGCTTATCTTCCTGCCGATCGATAAACCTGTTGCGAAAGCGACCCAGGAAAATTTCAATTGGCCACGATTTGATCATAATTGTCCTTAATCGGCGCCGTCGTTTCACGAACATCTTACCGTAACCGCCATTTTGGTGTGCGCACTAGGTTGGATCGTGGGGGATCGCATAAACTCGACGCAATAATGCACAGGTTTTAATATGATTAAGGAGTTTTATATTGTGTTAGTAGTTTTGTGGATCTTTTTCGGATTTTATAAGTGTGTTTGATTATAGTTTATGAGAGTTCAATTGTCGGGAATGGTTGATTAATTTTCAAGTAATATTTGTCATAATTGATTGTTGTGTAATTTTATCGAAGCCAACAAGGTGTGTGATAAAAGCTTTCTGTATCGCAAGTTATGTGTTAATAATATGCATTAATAATGATAATCAGTGTATGTTAATATATAATATACAATATCCGTTAACAGAGTACACTAACAGCTATTATATGTGTAATATTGATTAATGTATATTAATAGCTATTAATTATACTGTTAATAGTTATTTATAATATTGATATACATATATTATTAATAGTTAC